CCGCAGAGGTCCTGGCATATCCATGTTTATTGTTGCTGTAGTCACAGCCAGGGAATGGAACCAGGACTTGATGTCTGTCAACAGAGGAGTGAAGAAAGAAGTTGTGGGATGAGAGAATTTTATTCAGCCACAGAGGAGAAAAAAATTGACTGGAAATGACAGAGAGAAGAATGGCATTTACTGGAAAAACGGATAGCTCTGGAGATCATCACATTAAGCAAAAGAAGTCAAATTAGACAGACAAATATATACTGGGAGCTCTCTCTCTCTCTCTCTCTCTCTCTCTCTCTCTCTCTCCCTCGCTCCCTCTCTCCCTCCCTCTCTTCAGTGGGAGCCATGAGTCCCTGAATATCACTAGAATTAAAGCATAGGACAATCCACAGAGCCTACCTGCTTAAATCATCATCATCAAATCGAGAGAGATGGACAACCCTCTCTCTCCCTCCCTCTCTCTCTCTCCCCCCCCTCTCTCTCCCTCTCCCCTCCTTTCCTCTCCTCTCCTCTCCTCTCCTCTCCTCTCCTCTCCTCTCCTCTCCTCTCCTCTCCTCTCCTCTGGAAGAAAGAGGAAGAGAACTGAAGGGAAGAGGAAGGGGAATAATAGAGGCTATTCAAGGGAAAAAATAAAAAACACCTAGTTTTCTATCATATGAATTGAAATTTACATATTTTGTATACACACACATGACATGAAAGCGGAAGGAAGGTAGGCATTTGTAGGTAGGAAGGGGACCAGTGAGGGAGGAGGGGCTGAGTGGAGCAAGGTGTATGATATATATGTACAGAAATGCCACAACGAGGACCCGTGAGAAGGCTCAGGGGCTAAAGCTGCAGCTGTGAGCACCTGCCTTTGAATCCCCAGAACCCTCGTAAAGCCAGGCAGGGTGAGGAGCAGCTGCAATCCCAGGTTTCCTGCTTGAGATGGGAGATGGAGGCAGGAGATTCCCGGAGTCTTGTGGGCTTGCCTGCCTGCTGTGCACACAGCCATAGAACAAGACACCCTGGCTCAAGGTGAGATGTAGAGAATGACTCTCGAGATGGAAGGTGAGAACCAGCACCCAAGGTTGTCCTCTGATCTCCACGAATCTGCTGTAGCACATGCCTGCTACCCCCCCATGCACACACACAGGCACACACACATACACACAGATACACACACACACAAGAGGAGGAAATAATCTAGTATTTGAAAACTGGTCTCTAATTCAGCAAAGAAGTTGGGAGTGTCATTGACAGGTGAAGTGCTGACGTGGATCTTTGTTTTATTTTCTTCCGGCTTACATACGCGGAACTATCAGGGGTGGGGCATAGTTCCGTGGTAGAGCACATGTTTAGCAAGTATGAGTTTCTGGGTTCTCTCCCTGCTACTGGAAGAGGAAGAATGAAAATGTCAGTCGATTGCCATATTGAAGCTACACTTGTTCGCTAATTGACACCGTAGGCTGGCCACAGATGGAATCTGTCAAAAGTCAATGCGAGCTTATGTAACAGTCAGTGGCTACACGGACTTTCCAGACTGTGTGTATTAGTAACAGCAAAGCTTGTAATTAACACATATGTGCATAAGCCCACACTTCCCCCTCAGGATTAGCACAGTTCCCCCTCGAAGGCCATGTAACAGACGCCCATAGCTGGGCAGAGAGAGATGGGTTCATGGTTCTGCTGCTGGATGACTTTGACCTTGGTTTGGTTTCAGCGTCCTGTTGATTTGGATGGTATACTAACATATTCTCAGAAGAAGAAGGTTCATTAGAAAAGCCCAGGGGCACCAGGGAGCTGGACTTGCCTGAAACCTGCTCTGGGTGATGGGGCAGCTTACACAGGGCATTTGACTGTGGAGGAAGCTGATTGACAATGAGATTTGAATGCAAATCCAGTTTGGACTTGTTCCCATCAGCCACAGAAGCTCTTAAGCAAGGGAGCAGCAGAGTGAAAGCCCTCATTTAAGAAGAGGGCTTTGGTAACCACGGGAAGGACAGATTGGACAGGAACACCCAGCTCTGGGCTGTTGCAATCTGTGCTTTAGAAAACAGAGCTTAGAAAGTCAATGACTCTGCCCGAGGCCTGCTGTCTGGTATTCTGAGGAAGTCTTGCAAAATGTGCAGGCCCTGATCTCTGCTTGATTATGGGAGTCTCTGGGGGACCCCAGAGCCTACAAAACAGAAAAACAAAAGAGCAGTCTGCAAAGCTTTGCCAAATGGCCGCCATGTTGTCCCAACATCCCTCTGTCACTTTCTAGATGCATCTTTGAAATGAAGACATAATTTTTAGTCACTGTGTATGTGTGATGTGGGATGCCCTTCTGTATGCTGTGAATATGTTTTATTATTACTGGTTAACAAAAAAGCTGATTTGGCCAATAGCCAGGCAGAATAGAGCCAGAAGGGAAATCCAAGCAAAGATATAGGGAAAAGGAAGGCATAGTCAGGGAGGTGTCAGCAGCTGCCGGGGTAAAGTATAGACTAATAGAAATGGATTGATTTAAGTCATAAGAGCTAGTTAATAATAAGCCCGAGCTAATAGGCCAAATAGTTTGTAATTAATATTAAGCCCCAGAGTGGTTATTTGAGAACTGGCAGGCAGGAAAGATACATCCAGTTACATGTGGTGTGTGTGTGTGTGTGTGTTTACATGTGTTTTCTGGAGTCAGAAAGCAGCCTCAAGTGTCATCCCTCAGATTCTGTTTACCCTTTTCTTGAGATGAGGTTCCTCACAGGCCTTTAGCTTGTCAAGTAGGCTATGCTGGAATCTGTCTATCTTACCCACATGGAAAGACCAGGATTACAAGCGTGTACTATCATGCCTGTGGCTTTTGTTTTGGTTTTTAAATGGTTTCCTGAAATTTAACTCAGGTCCGTGACTTACCAGGCAAGCACTTGACTGTTGGAGTGACCTCTCCAGCTTGCTTTGATTACCTCTCCTTGACACCAATCAGTTGCAAGTGGAGGGCCTCACTCTCAAACCAGGTTCATGGGTGCCTTGGAAGTCAGTTGAGAAGTTCAAGATTCTGTAGGGGTCTGCTGGGGCAGGACCTCTCCATATTCCCTAGCCTAGGACACATTCCAGGACAGTTCCCTACTGTGTAGCAAAAGGCCACCAGCTGCCCTGCATTATTGGCCCCTCATCATCCAATAATGAAGCAACTTCCATCAGCATTTTCCCAGGCCAATAGCCTTTTCTTCTCTGGAACTCTCCTCATGCCGTTGCTTCCTCCCAGGCCTCATCTGACTTTTTGGAATGCTAATATGATACTCTGGTCAGCAGCCCCCAATAAGGCCAGCTGGCGTGAGTGACTTTTCCAATATAGGGTGGGACAGCTCTGTCCCTGAGGTCCCTACCCACTGCTGCAGACCTCCGAGAACTAGGTACAGATCTTCAGACAAGCCCGGTGGCCAATAGTAATGGACCCCAAGTCCTAGCTCCTAGTGAACTAGGCTTGTAACCTGCTGACAGACACCCCTGTTGGGATAGCAACCGATTGTGGCCTCCCCACATTTCCCAGTGTTTTAGTTAGGGTTTCCGCTGCTGTGATAAAACACCATGGCCAAAAGCAGCTTGGAGAGGAAAGGGTTTATTTGGCTTACACCTCCACATCATAGTCCACCACTGCAGGGAGTCAGGGCAGGAACTCAAGCAGGGCAGGAACCTGGAGGCAGGAGCTGATACAGATAATTACAGAGGCTTAGTCTATGGCAGCAAGCATGGTGACAGGCAGGGGTCCTACTGGAGAAGACATCCTAATCCACAAGGAGAGAGAGAGAGAGAGAGAGAGAGAGAGAGAGAGAGAGAGAGAGAGAGAGAGAGAGAGAGAGACTGGGCTTGGACTGCACTTTTGAAATCTCAAAGTCCAAAGCCCACTCCAGAGGCATACTTCCTCTAACATGGCCACACCCCTAATCCTATTCAAATAGAATTCTCTGATGACTGAGCATTCAAATATATGAGCCGATGGGGGCCATTCTTATTCAAATCACCACACCCAGCATGATTTTGCTGGACTTTCCCTTAGTCACTCTTCATTGGGCTTTAGCTATCTATGTCCATTGACTATTGTGTTGTCCATATCCTTCTGATGGTGGAGCCATTCATTGGAGAATAGGCCAATCTACCAGGAAACAGAGCCTTAAAGAAAATGGGTCCTCCCTCCCTCCCTCCCTCCCTCTCTCTCTCCCTCCCTCCCTCCCCCAGAAGCCACGGCTGTCCATAGCTCCTCAGAGGGGGAGACTCATGAAGTCCTTCCCACTCCAGGCTAGAATTTTGACTGGCTTGATCTCGTGCAAGTCTTGTGCAAGCCACCAAAGCGGCTATAAGTTCATGCATCCGGTTATTCTGTCATGTTCAGAGGAACTTTTGCTTTGGCCTTGCAGTCTTCCTCCTCCTCTTCTGTGAACCCTGAGCTCTGAGGAAGGCTGTGATAGGATGCCCCATTTGTAGCTGGGCCGAGCTCTGTCACAGGCTTTGCCCTTTGCCCAGTTAAGGGTTTCTGCATTAACTAACACCATCAGATAACATTAACTAAGACCAACAGATAACATTAACTAAGACCAACAGATAACGTTAACTAACACCAGCAGATAACATTAACTAACGCCATCAGATATCTGGTACACAAAGACATTTCTCTGATGAGGTCTGAGAGCTGCGCTAAACTACTAGGTAGAGAAATATTGATTTAGAGGGGAATTTGATATTATACCCATTTAGCAATTAGCAGTATTAGAATTACCCCTGGGGTCTGTGAGCTTCCCAACCATGGGTTCCAGAAGTGCAGTTCCAGGCGTGTATTGCTGAGCCTGTGGAGCAGGCTTTCAAATCCTATCAGAAACTGGTTGGTTACCCCCGGAACATTTGTGTGATCGTTACACCCATGGGCATATCTCGTCACGCCAGTCATTGTTGCAGGATCTTCCTGGCTCTTGTTCTGCTCTGCCAGGCTCGGCAGAAGGGTAGATGGTGGCCGAGGGATTAGACATTTCTCTCTTCGCATCCCAGGCCACCCTGTGCATTTAGACAATGGTGGGGCTTCTGACTTGGATTTTAGCTCATCTTGCTCTTCACAGGAAGCTGGAAGTGGTCCCAGAGGAGCTGGCTGGAAGAGTGTATTTTGCAAGCCAGGTGTGGTGCCACATGCCTGTAATCTAACACTCGGGAAGATTGCTGTGAGTTTGAAGCCATCCTGAGCTACATGGTAAGTACCGGGTCACCAGGAATACAGTGTAAGACCTTGCCTCAAGACAACGACTGTAACAGCAGCAGCAACAATAGCAATAGCAACAATAGCAGCAACAGCAACAACAGAAATTGTATCTTCCGGCTCTGGGCTTGTACCTGGTGACCTGGATTATTGTCGGAGGGTCTCCATGGTCACCCACCATCGGTATCTAAATGGAAAGTTCCACCTGCTCTCTCCATACTCTACATATACCCTCTACACACTTGGAAGCATGGCTAGGCACCCAAGGATACCTCTACAACATAGATGCTGGGCAAACACTTGTTATAGTGTGTTGTTTTGGGGATCACGACAGGGAAACACGTCTCTCCATGTTCAGCCAGACCCCCCCTTCCCCGCCCAATTGTTTTCTGTCGGTGGTTGATTGAGGCCATGGGTTTGGAGCCTGTGGCTATGGAGGACAGATGTTCTCAGAGAGTAGGGAATTCAGCATGCTTCTGGATCATATCGGTCTCACGAAGTCAGATTCTTTTCAAGGGTGATTTTCAGCTCTCTTTATCTCACCGCAACTCCCGAATCCTTTTGTGTAGTAACGGGCAGGTTCGTCATTTGCTGTATCTCGTAGATCCCAGGAATGTCCATGCCACTTCGTAACTGAAAGCCATTTAGTTTAGTGTCTGTGCATAGAGCTGAGCACTCATTTTAAAACTCGTCAAGCGTGGTGACAGATATTCCCTGTTTCCTTTACTCTGGGAACAGTTCCACTGTGTTGGAAGGCTGACCTGTCCTGGTTTGAGGATTGTTCTCTTCCTGTCTGTATGTAATGGCAGGGACTCCAGGGTCTGGTGATGTAACATGTGGGCCTTTGGTGCAGCAGTTAAAAAAAAAATCACCAATGACTCCAGAGGAAGAAAAAGTGGGAGGAAGTTAACTTGGCTCATAGATCATAAACACACACACCTTTTTAACTCACTGCTTCCTCCTTTCCCCAGCTCCCAGCCAGTTTGCACCCCAGACTATCACCAAGACAAGGTTCAGTTTGGTTTATCCGTTGGGCCACTGGCTCCAGCATCACGGTGAGTCACAAGGCATGGAGGTGCAACTGTGCGGTGATCCCTGTGGGGCAAAAGCACCAGCGAGACGCTTCTGTATCCAATGACAGGGAGCCTAAAATTGTCCTGCACTCTGTTGCGACTGGGGTGGGGTGGGGGTACTGCTGGCCCACTAAAGAACGTGTGACTGTTTGCTGTCTTGGTCTCTACCTTTCGAAGTTCACTTGGATGAGTTCTGATGGCAGCTAGAACTTTAGGCTGTGTTTACACGTGACGGGGCTGCAGCAGGATGGCGATCATAGTTCTCCCTTGGTGTCTCTCAGATCCTTGGTTCATTTTAATTCATCATTTAAGCTTTTGGAGATATGGCCTAGGTTAGCCCAAACTAGTCTTCAACTTACTATGTAGCACAGGCTGGTGTTGAACTTATAGCATCTTCTTCCTGACTCAGTTTCCCAAGCGCTAGAATTATAGGCTTGTACCATCATGACTAAAGACTAAAGATGTGGTGGGCCTGTGGATACTTACATCTGTTACTTAAATCTTTGGCCTTTAATACTTAATAAGCATAACCCTATGTTGTGGAATGGAAAAAGATTTTTTGAAAAAAATCTTTCTGAATTTGCAGGCTAATCTTGCCAAGCAACCTATTTTATTAGGTTCAAAAGCAGCTTAATTTCACAAGGAGCAGAGAAATAGAAGCAAACATTCCAGCAGGGCCTCCTGGATGCCATAGCCACCTCAGAATTCATGCTTCCCATGGGAGGTACCTCATTGCTTTTCATTCTGAAGGCTAGAGTTTCATAGTAATATTATTTTAGATCAGGGGACCGAGTGGTGAGATCCTCTTGGCAGTCCATCTACTTATGGACTAACGTTGACTCGATACCTGCTCTGTGCCAGGTGCCCTGTGCTGAGGCCACAGACTCAACAATGCTTCTTCGTGTGTGTGTGAAGTTCAGGGGCCTGTGAGCGAGACAGTCAAACTAACTGCAGATTGTCACGCGATGTGGGATGCCTGGTGGTTCCATTTACAGTGGATATGTTTCTAGGCTTGCCTGTGGGTACACAAGAGGTCAAAGGCGCTGTTAGAAATTAAACTTTTCCAGCCTCTGCTACCCCTATTGCAGGGTGCCGGCCAGTTATTTCCCAGAGTTCCCTGGAGTCATGTGCTGGCTAGTTTCATGTCAACTTGACACAAGCTAGAGTCATCTGAGAGGAGGGAGTCTCAGTTGAGAAAATGCCTCCATAAGACTGGGCTGTGGGAAAGCCTGTGGGGCATTTTCTTAATTAGCTATCAATGGGGGATGGGCAGCCCATCTGTGTGTGGTGCCATCCCTGTGCTGGGCGTCCTGGGCATCCTGGGTTCTATAAGAAAACAGCCTGAGCAAGCCATGATGAGCAAGTCAGTAAGCAACTCCTTTACATGGCCTCTGCATCAGCTCCTGCCTCTAGGTTCCTGCCCTGCTTGAGTTCCTGTCCTGACTTCCTTCAATGATGAACTATGATGTAGAAGAATAAGGCAAATAAACCCTTCCCTCCTCAACTTGCTTTTGGTCACGGTGTTTCACCATAGCAACAGAAACCCTAATTAGGACAAGTCATTATGTGTGTGTGTGTGTGTGTGTGTGTATGTGTGTGTGTGTGTGTGTGTGTGTGTGTGTGTGTGTGTAAGCTTTAATTCCAGGCCTCAGTGTTGTGTTTTGCTCTGAGATCTACTCCTGGACTTTGTTTCCTTGCCTGGCCTGGGGCTTCTGCCAGAGGCTACTCCAGGCATGCTCCGCAGGTGTCTCAGTCCTCAATATCCCTGGGTTGAGGCACTCTCCATCTTGGGTGTGGGAGGAGAGAGTCAGCTCACCTTACTTTGGGTTACCTGGGTACAAGACCAGGTACCATAATAGTCTTGGAAAACATCTTCCTCTTAGCTTCTGCCCATAGCTCCTCTTTCTCAATTCCTTGGGTCAGGTCTCAAATCCAACACCTCCAGCAAACACAGTAAGCACCTATCTGTGGAGAGCAGGCTTTTGAGTGACTTTGAGACTTCCTGAATTTTCTCGGCTTCCCATCTTGGGCAGTTGCCTTCTGTGACAGCCACTGGTCGGCTTGTCAGGCATGCTCAGACCTAAGACCTCTGTGTCCTCTTCCTCCTGCGGGTGCCATTTTATTTCAGGTCCTCTGAACCTTGCTTAAACCATTGCTACAATTTCCTAATTGTCCTGTTGCTTCTTGTCCCCATCTTCTCCACCCTGGACTTGGTGTCACCATCCTCGGATGGGATCTAGTTTAAATCTTCCTTGTACAGTGTTCCTTTTGCCAGCCAGAGTGTTAGCATGTTAGGATCTCATTAAAATGAGATTGCCTCTCCCTGGATTTTCTTTTTTTTTAAAGATAGGAACATATATATGTATCACAGTATGGCTTTGAACTCAATACATAATTGAGGATGACCTTGGATTTTGGCTCCTCCTGCCTCTGTCTCCCTGGTGCTGGGATTGTGGGTGCCCACAGTCTTATGCTGTGCTGGGAATCTAATCCAGGGCCTCAAGTGTGTTAGGCAGACACTCTTAGTAAGAGAGCTGCATCCCCAGCTCAGTTTCATCACGTTGTACTTCCTGTCCTTAGTAATAATGTAAAGACTGTCTTGAGGGATCCACGTGGGCTGGGCCAGGTAAGGAAATCTCCATGATGGAAAGGGAAATTGCTTGTCTTTTAACAAGTGGACAGGTTTAGTCAGCCAGTGGCAAGCAAGCTTGTTCTCAACGGGGGAAAGTGCAGTGGAGCTGGGATTGCGCTGATGGATTCCTCAGACAGGAGGTCAGAAGGCCCTGCTATTGAAGAGGCTGTGTGTCAGGAAATAGGAGGACCGGAAGCATCTAGGCAGAGTAGGGCTTTATTATGAAGGGCTGTGAAAAGCCAGAAAGGAGGTCTAGATTTAACTCTGCAGGAAGCTGGAAGCCATGGAAACTTTTTCAATGGGAATGACGATAATGAAAGAGATTGGGAGAGGAAAAGGCTGGCTTGCTTTGACTGGGAGGGGAGAGGGAGGTGGGGTTGGACTTTGAGGTGTGAAGGGCAACCCAGGGGAATTGTGGTTTTATTGAAAAGGGGTATGTGCGAATGATAACCTTTACAAGTTTAAAAGAAGAAAGGAAGGAAGGAGGAAGAAAGAAAGAAGGAAGGAAAAAGACACTGGGTCTTGGGTTGGAGTTTACCTAGCATTCAAGAAGCCTTGGGTTTGATCCATCAGCCCGGCATAAAACTAGGGATGGTGGTGCTTGCCTGTAACGTCAGCACTGAGGAGGTGGAGGCGGGACGTGCAGAACTTCAACCCTCTAATGCCTAGCAAGGCCAGTCTGGGGTTCAGGAGACACTGTCTCTAAATAAATAAATAAATAAATAAATAAATGTATGTATGTATGTAAGGGAAGAAAATCGCACCAAGGATTGAATCCATCAAGACTAGTGCTCCAAGGAGGTGAGAAAGGGTGTGGGGGAAGGGCTGTGGGCTCTGCTTTTGGTGTGTGAGACACTCAGGCGGAGCTCAGAGGCAGAGCTGCTGTCTGAGGCCCTGGAGGAAAGCTCTTCCCCCAGAGCTGAGGATAGAAACCCATGTGAGGAGGAAGAAGGAGAGCTGGGATCCAGGGATGGGTCTTGGACACAAGACATTTACAGCCAGGGACACCCTGGTCCTGCAGCTCCTGGCTCAGCATAGCATCTCTTCTTACTGTGGCAGGGCCAGCGCCAGCTCCTGTTTGCTGCCAAACAAAGTAGGGCAGGGCTAGAAGGCAGCCGGATTCAGAGGTGCTCCTTGTTTGGCCTCCCACTGCGGTGAAATCACTGCAGTCTGTGATTTCAAACATGGCCCCCTCCACCAGCTCAGTAGCCATGATGTCAGTTTCTTAAACTGATGCTTAAGAGTTGCCAGATTACATTTTTTATTATTATGCTTGTATTTATGTAATATTTGTGTGTGTGTGTGTGTGTGTGTGTGTGTGTGTGTGTGTGTGTGTGTGCATAAGCCACAGCATTCATGCAAAGGCCAGAGGACAACCTGCGAATGTCAGTTCTCTCCTTCCACCCATGTGGGTCCCAGAGATAGAACTCAGGTTGTCTAGCTAGGAAACTGGTAACTTTTCCGGTTTATTTTTTATCTCATCTCATGTACTCTAGGTTGGCAGCTTTAGCCAAGAACAGTATTGGAGTCCCAGATCAGTCTGATCAAATTACAGGAAAAAACATTAATTTGGTATAGCTAACCATATCCCAAATATTGTATGACACATACATACTTATATTAATAAGTAAGTTACTGGTTCTCTGAAATTCAGATTTATCTGTGCATTCTGTATTTTATTAGAGGATTCTTTCATCTGATGAGTTTCCTGACTCCAGGCCAAGATCATGTCTTTTATATGTTTGTGCATGTGTGTGTGCATGTGTGTGCGTGTATGTGTGCATTTGTACATGCTCATATGTGGACTCATGTGAATGGGCTGCGTGTGCACACATGAGGCTAGGGGTTTATGTCAGGTGGGTTTTTTATTCTCTAATTTATGTTTTTGGTCTCTCACTGAACCTGGACCTTACCATTGAGCTATACTGGCTGGCCTATGAGCCCAAGGATCTCGTCTCTGCTGCACATCTTTGGGGTTACAGGCACATGCTGCCACACCCAGCTTCTTAAGTGGCGATCCTAACTAGGGTCTTCCTGCTCATGTGTTCAGCTTTCTACCGACTGGACCATCTCACCAGTCCCTCCCCAAGCTTTTTTTTTTGAGACAGAATCTCCCATTACAGACCAGGCCGGCCTGAAACTTGTTATGTAGCCTCAACCTCCAACTCTCTCAGACACCTGAGGTCAGGCATTACCAGCGGGAGCCACCACACCAGGCTATGATCATGTCAGCTAAGAGGCCTAAGACACATCCCTTCCTCCTTTTCCCTTCCCGCTCATTGACTCGAACAGTGCTATTTAGATCCAAGAGGCAATTGTTCCACACCTACCACACGCTTGACGGGGCACA